GGGAAAAGTGCGGTATTCAACTCGTTATTAATCGTACGTAAATACATAATGTACTCACTTGATACATGAACTCTTAGACATTGAAACACTACGTCAATGTAATGACTAGGAATAGTTTTCGGAGAAAAGTCGTTTGCTGCCAAATAATTTTTCCAATTTTATTGCGTTGGCAACTTACCCCATTCCAGGAGTAAATTTACATATTGAAACACTACTTCAAAGTATCGGCATTAAAAGATCTTATGTTATAATTATCTGCATATACATACATAGGGGAAGAGGGAATATTTAGTAATGGTGGGTTCATTGCGAACATATACCATGTCAAGTCGAGCGTCATGCGGTCCCCTTAGAAATCAGTAGAAAAATAAATACAGTCTATTTTAAAATCTCCTTCTTTTTTAGTCGGATGACAACTGCAAAAGTCTGTACAGACTAAAACTACTAATATAGTTACTATTATTATTACTGCTATGGATATGGGTGAACGGATTTCAATAAAATTGAACGTGTAGATAGATCTCAAAAAAGCAATCAGTGGCAAGTAACAGCTAATTTAATTACAATTCATGTATACATTATTTATAATTAATAATGCTTATTTCTATTTGTTTTCCTTGTGTGCATATAGTTCCAGCGCTGCAGATCGTCAATCGGAGCGACAACCGGCCATGACCGCGTTGTGGTGCCAGCAGCCGTCCTCGGACACTAAACTGCACGGCTTGCGTAATAATAATAGCGAAACATGCATTGTATTATTATTTATCTCAGCATAATATGTACATGCACGACACAAAAATAAATATACATATAGGTATACTAGCTTTTGCCCGCGGCTTCGCTCGCGTTAATTTATCCCCTTAGGGGTGGAATTTATCAAAATCCATTCTTAGGGGATGCCTACGTCATAGTAGCTTTATGCATGCCAAATTTCAGCCCGATCCGTCCAGTGGTTTGGGCTGTGCGTTGATAGATCACTATGTCAGTCACCTGTGTGTTATATATATTTAGATTTACTTTTATTACATCATCAACATATAAATCTATTTATCAAACCGCCAAAATGTAAGAAAAACAACATACACTAGGTACCATATATTTGACACACACGTAGAAATAATATTTATGAATACGATTTTGCTTATTGTTAAAGAGTGTAGTCAAAATGAGAATAGATTAATATTGTTTGTCTCGTATGTCGTATGTATCGTATGTATGGTCGAATTTCGACCACAGGGCAACCACTAGTATGATGTTATACAACAACACTACATTAAACATACAACATACAAAAAAGTTTTAAACACCCGGGAATGGACAGGACAGTAATTATATTTAAAACCTAGTGGTCTTATTGACCTCATGATTATTGCCTTGCCCTTATCCCATTATTTGGGGTCGGGGTAGATGTCATTCTCTTCCACTGATCCCCATCGGCCATCATATCTGAGCATCTCCTTTTATTTATATCATCTTTATCTAGTTCTAATTTATATGGTAACATTATTGAAACTATATAACTTTTATTGCTATATCTATAAGTTGTATAAATCTAATCAGCTACCATTTATTTACAATTTATAAATAACAGATAACAATGTTGTACTTATTTACATTTTACATGTAGCGACACTCGACGACTATACGCTAATGCCAAAAATAGACTTGACTTCACATTTGCACAGAACATGTTTTCTGTTCTGTCAATTATTTGGTGTTCTAACTAATTACTTTGTTATGTTTTAGTAAAAGAAAATATATGATAGTAACGCGAAAATGAAAATTAAAAAATATATAAGTATATATTACATTTGATATGCCAAGAACGAGGACCATGTTTTAAAGAAGATAATGGGGAGAGGACAACCTTAGATAGGGAATGGGCTGTTTTAAAGGTGATGTATATACATATAAAGTTAGTAAGCTCAGATTTGATAGGCCGCCTCCGATCGATCCCCCGTTCAATTCAAACGGGGATCGAAATTACGACAGCCTGAGTCGAGTTTCGTACCTGTAGTGGTGCTCTCAGACTAAAGTCGTATCTGTCAGGCGGGAGTTTGCCTTCAGCCGCTCCATAAGTCATTCCACGGGTTTGCCATCTGCTCTCGCCCCCTATCGTCTGGTGTGGCTGTAAAGGCCAGCTACGGTCAACAGTATTAGAGTAGTCCGAAATTGATGGCTGATAGAGACTAGGAGATTAAGATGACACTGCTCTAATCTCACAGCCAATAAAAGCAAGGGATGATGATTGAATTATAGTTTAGCATAAGTAACAATGAGTTTCAAAGATATAGATAAGTAGCTAATCTACTTAGGTACTTAATCGTTATTTTTACCAATAATGTACTTATAATCACACCATGTGTTAATGTGAGACTTTTGTTATATAAGAACTGTAGGGATGGAATAACTTTTTATATTAGTATTAAGAATATAAAAATATAAAAAGGATTGATATATATATACATTCTAATTACTTTATCTAACCACAATTATGTATGTGATAAATAGGAAGTAATACTAAACAAACCAATGTTTTGTGAATTTTCATATTATTATCTTTAGATATTCTGCGTGTTGCATATACTTATTTTGTAGGCGCTCTTTATTCGGACACATTATAAAGTTGCAACTTTATTACGCAAATACATCACACAATTAATATAGATTTAAATGGCATGCGCCCGTTTTACCTGCTTAATATTTATAGCCTGTGTTATTCTGATGTATAAGCTATATTACTATAAAGTTACATCAAAATCCGTGATATAGTTTTAAAGAAAGAGTAATAAACATTCATCTATACGTACTCATAAACATTCACGTTTATAATATTAGTAATGTCTGTCAATTTCCGCGCTATTACCTTTTAATTGCATCTTAATATCATAATGGAAAAATAAACAACCTTTCCGATTTCATAATGTTCAAAGCGGCAAAATAATTTAATTGACTCGACAAAACAGGAAAATGCTGTTAAGTTAATTTCCGCTAATTAAAATAAATTTAAACATATATTTGTTGACATGTATATTATGAATGAATTTGACAAATCCATTCTTATTTTTAGAATATATTATATTAGTCCACGTAATATTTAGCAAATGGGTAATGATATAAATACAATTAGTTGATAACTAGCGATTAGAATTAAAATGTTTTTTTTTTTACTTTATTATAGCCACAATAAAGGACATAATTCATCTCTCGGGATTGCTTACATTCTTACAGTCTGAGCAGGTAATCAGTACCTAAAACAGTATGGCAGTATGTCTGAGTGTATAACGCCCTCTCGTATAGTGGAAAATATACATAACCCGATATATACGTTTTTTTTTTGATATAAATAAATAAGTATATACGTTTTTTTTTCTATAAACACATATTACACATAGAAAACACCTGAGTGTTTGTTTTGTGTCGGGGTCTGGCCCAGATACACACAATCATACTCATGAATACCAATGTTTGTACCGTGCGAAGTATCGAACGCGCAACCATCGGAAGTAAGACAGTTTGCCAAACCTCTAGACCAATGAGGTCGTCGTATCTTTTACAATTAAATTTATTATGTACTCTTTTGCATAATTTGCAAAGTTATGAGCATGAGAAATTTGTATTAGTAAATTTAGTTTTCTGTAGATAAAAGGCGATAAAAGACAATTACACTTTATAATATTGTAGCTGTATTATTATAAAATACCTTATAATAATACAGCTACAATGTTATAAATACCTATAATGGTAGTAGTTACAATACTATGTAAACAAACGCCTGAAATTACAGAGTAACCTTGAATAAATAGTTGTTTTTCATCTAACAATTTGTAGGGCCAATGACATTGACCTCATGAATGTTGGATAGGAGCACCTCATCTGGATAAACACCTTATTATTATACAACACCGGCCCGGAGCAAATGGAATATTTATTGTGATGTTACAAAATCGGAAAATTATGGGTGTGAATAAATCATAAGTTCATGATAGCTACTAAACTTTTAGCCGAATTCAAAAGTGAGTACGTTCTAAATTTAAATTGATTTACGCAGAATCTTTTACATTTTACTTTTTTTTAAGCAAATGTAATTAAAAAATGTAACATAAAAGTCCATTTGATAGAAAGCTGAAATTGTTGTATATAGTCATGAACTCCAAGGAGATCTGTTATAGAAATGTATAATTAAACTATTTGTAACTGGAAAAATGTTTTAATAGTAAAATGGTAGATCAAAAGAGTTTCAACAAGATCACATCGTCAACGTATAAATACCGATATATATTAAATATATTAGCATATTTTTATGAATATATTGCATTCCTCGTAAAATTCTTATCTCAAATCACGAGTTTAAACTGAATAATATCTGCTAAGATTCCACGTAGTGTGTATACACTGTGTGTAGTTTAGGTTATTAAGTAAAATTTTATATGATTAGAAATTCAGTAAAAAAAAGTATTAGTGTGATATGTGACGAGGAAGTCAATATAGTGTTCTCGCCATTAATTGTATATTACGATATAAGTGCGGTATGATGTTTATAACACACAACGTGAAATGGCAGCCGAGTGTATTAAAAACGTACGTATATCGTATGACGTTTTTTAACACATTTGATTTTAAATAAACTCAACCATAACACTGTACCACAGTATTATGGTTGAGTTTATTTGCTTTCCCGCCATTTTACTTTTTTAAATTAGCACGCAGCTTTCATAGCAGGCGCCGCGCAACGGTCAATTCGGAAATTGACTAAAAAAATAGCATGTAGTGCGGTTATGGAAAATAACTCCACTATTTGTGTTTATAACGCGCGTGTTATATGAACTGCTTTATATATAAAGAACTGGTCAAGTTAGACCCATTTTATGAGCAATTGTGTTGAAAAGATTATAATACAATAGCGTGCTCTAGCGGAAGAATTCAGTTACAGACGTGACATTGCTGTCAAATGCGTCAAAAATGACAACGTCAAACGTAACAAGATATTTGTGAAGAAAAGCGACCAAGCTACCGAATCGAATCTGACTTATTCATTATATTTTATATACTTTTACGCTTTATTATTACTGAATATACTTACAAAACGAAACTACTTATGTTCCTATTATTTTTTATTAATGTTCCTAGCTTATCTGACGGACTAAGAACTAAAGTAAACCTACGTTATAAATTGTTGCGTCAAAGTGAGGTTAGGAAGGTAACAGTAAACCATAATATCCACCAGAATTAACTGCAATGAACAGTGAGAAAAGAAATTCACGGGGCCGTGGAAGAGGGAGAGGCCGCGGTAGGGGAAGAGGCAGAGGTCGGGGTCGAGGCAAGAAAGTGCCCAAAGTGATGTCAAGTGACGAAGAGGAATGTTCTATCGAAGAAAGCTCACAGGACCCTGATGATGCAACCTCTGAGGAACCTAAGCAGGAAAATGACCAGGCTGAGCCACCTAAATGTCAGTATTATACATGTAATATACACAGATCATCATTATTTGCATGTGTCATAATTTTGTCTTTACAGTGTATTATGTATTGAAGTTATTGGCTTTACAACAAAAATATACTACCACAGAATACACTATTGAAACTAAATTATAAACTGTTAGAATAAAAAACCATTGTTTTTATGCTGCATTTTCTTACCTCTTGTCTTACTCAAGATAAACAACTTATTTCAATTTTTTTATAATATCCTTAGATATAGATAGTAATGAGACACCATTATTAAGTTTCATAAATGTGATAAGAGTAATGTAGTGATGATGAAGACACTAAACTTTGATATCTATCTTCATATGTACAATCAAAACTATTAATGTTTACTTTATTATTATTCATTAATGTTTACATACTTATATTACATTATAAGTCTAAGTTATTTATAACAAAGAAAACAATCTATAAGTCTTCATTACTGATCTTCAATTTATTATACAACTACATACTTAAATTTTTTATTTTATATATTCATGCTAGTGACTCAGTCTGTATTTACAATATTATACAACTCAAAGAGACAACACCTTTGAACATAAACATTATAGTATAATATTTTATCAATTTGATTATCACTCGCACTGATAACAAACAGCAGTAGCATTCTTATCTCATTCCTTATTAATAAATTGTCATTGCTGCTCATTAAAATCACTTAATAAAACCATTATAATGTTCTCAGTGGAGGTCCCATCAGACATATCACAACTGGAGGCCCCTGTGTTCACAACTCTGCAACGGGGTCCTCCAGAGCCCATGTTGCGGTTAGATTGGGGTCACAGGGCTACACTTATTGGTGAAAAAGTTCTGAACCCTATGATCTATTGCTGTGATATATGCTCAAAACCTATACTCATTTATGGACGAATGGTGAGTGAATTTTGTAATGTAAAAGTTATTTTTGGTTATGACGGTGACAACTTATATAATAATGTGACTCTACAAAATCAACTGTATTAGTTCTTTTTTCTTTCAACTATTATAATGCTGTAGTACATAGCTGCCTTTACAGCTTCACTGGACGGAAATTGGGGTAAATGAGAACCCTTACTAGTCATTAGTCTGTGAGTTTGAAGCATAAAGCTGAGCAAGTTTTTCATATTTGTTCTGGTACAGAGGTGTAACAGTAAAATTACTGGATGCTGGGATTCCACAGATCAACATACTAGACTATATTATCCTCTTGCTATTTCCATACAGTTATTTGCTTTCTATAAAATTTTATGTAAATAACATATCACTGGCAGATGCATAACCATGTACTATGTTACTTAATTAAAGTGATGCAAAGTTAATCTTGTTCATCAAAAACTCATGACATAAAATTATTATCTATTATGAAGCTCCTGCCATTTCTAGAACATACTATAATAAATCAATTATATTTCAGTACTATAAATAAACTGTGTAAATAACCATCCTTGATCATTACTAGATGTGAATACATGAAATTTTAATTCTATGGGGTTTAATGGACACTGGATGACATGATGGCTGTGGCGCTGTTCATGTACATGTATATGTATGATTGCACTTATGATTTGGTGTAAAGTAAAATTTTTTACCATTCCAATTGCATAAAATAAAATACCAACTCCCTAGAAATTCACCCTTTGTATCCTTTTGTATTGACACTCAAATGAATTGCTGATATATATATACCTATTATTTAATCTAATTGTTAGCTGTAGTACATAATAGTTCCGAAAACTGTACTACTATAGATGACATCTATGTACAATTTTTACATCACAGTCTATTATGTCTTAAGACATAGTATATTTTGTAATTGGAGACAATATTCTTACTATGGAATATACACAGTTCAGTTTAAACTAACCTAACCTTCGGTTTTATTTACCTATATATTGGGTCTAGATCTAGTACAGTTCGGGTCATTAGTACAGTACTAAATACATATTGAATATTTGATTCCAAAATTAGTGTACAGTGGTTTCTATGTTGATTGTGCATTATTTATCCTTGTTAACGTGTATTTATTTAAACAATATTTATTTAATAGAGTCTTCTTGTAATAAATGTGCTTTCAATTTGAGTGATAAATTAAAAAAAATAGTATTTAAAATTTTAATAAAGATTATTTCCATTCTATTTTTTCTAGATACCCTGTAAACACGTATTTTGCTTTACCTGCGCAAGAGCTGATCATACACACTGCCCACGATGTAGGGAGAAGGTAAGACTTTAAATTTTAATTAAATTCCTTATTCATTTGGATGCTATTATTGGTCTTCATTACAATTCTTATATCTGTGGCATTTTATTTAAAAAAAATAAAATATCTGTGGTTAATAATTAAATAATTAACTTCAATTCAAAAATAGTACCTTCCAAGTTAAATATATAATCTGAATACACTAAAGAATTAACATAGCAGCATTGTATTTTAAACCTATTGTACTTTAAATATATTATTTAATATACATTAACAACTGTTATTGTAGATAAAGTTCTATATTAGCATGTAAATCATGGCTAAACATATTACAACAGGTACTGCGTGTAGAACAAACAGGTCTCGGTACTGTGTTCATGTGCACACACTCGGGAACAAGATATGGCAACACTGGATGTCGTAGAACTTACCTCTCTCAGGTATGTCCCATATATTATTAGCTTATTTACAAACTAGTTCATTTAAATAGTGAGATGTGGCAGCGAAATTACAGGGTATAGATGCGAGACACCTGAGACCCCAGGATTGCAAATGTTGTTTTGCCTTAAATAAAAAAAATTAGGGGTGGACTACCCCTTACATTTAGGGGGATGAAAAATAGATGTTGGCCGATTCTCAGACCTACTCAATACGCTCACAAAATTTCATGACAATTGGTCAAGCCGTTTCGGAGGAGTATGGGAACGAAAACTGTGACAAGAGAATTTTATATATAAAATTAGACTCTGGAATGGGTGGAACATATACATATACTTTTGTACAACAAAGTTTGTGTTTGAAGTATTATTTTCTTTTCTTATAGTATTTTCCTTTGCTATATATAAATAAACAAAAATATGTATTACATAGCCTTTTAATTTATTTTAAGCATAAAGAAAAAAATACATTCTGGGGTGGCGTGAGAGAAAGAATTCGCGTCTGTTATATACTGCATAATTAAAATGCACTAACCTATTAACAAGTTAATAATATGTTCTCTGATCATATGTTACAGAGAGACCTGCAAGCACACATCAACCATCGTCACGTCTCGTCGGGTTCTGACAGTAAACCTGAGCCGGAGGTACCTAGTCCTTCTGTTGCGATAGTCAAACCCATCACGGTGAGTTTTACATTAAAAAAAATTATCCCCGATTACACCCCAAGTGTGTTGCTACTTCTTGAGTTAGGTTAAGAGTCTTATATTCAGCTACCCGGGGATTGTTGCCCCCGAAGTTGAGGTAAAAGGGCCCCAAAGCCCCAACCTTCACCTCCTTAGGGTAGTGCGGATGACTAGTGATTACTATCAATGTACAATATACATTGATAGTAATCAAATATTTTTAATAACAATTGTTAGTTTAATGTCTCCTATAACAGGCTTTTATTTAGAAATAACAAATGAGATGGTTGCTAAGCCTTATCTCTTAACCGTCTTTATATATAGATTACTAAAATTTTGCATACCAAAATAATGGCATAATTGTCGACTATTTTATTAATATTATAATTATTTATACCATATTTCAAGTAACTAAATACATTTAGTTTCATAATATAGGTAATATAAGGGCGGTTGCAAATATGTATACTGATATAATTTTGTAAAGAAGAAAGATTTTATTATATATTTGTTTGTAATGATTTGAAATGAAACAGCCTTTCATCCAAACTAATAAGATAATTTGAAAATTACCATTTGCTATGTCTCCAATCAGCTGCCATCTGTGGGCGCAAATGACCCCCGCGGTCACACCCTGTCGGGCGGCGGCGCGGCGGCGCCCCCCGCGGGCCCCGGGCCCCCCGGGCCCCCCGCCCCGCCCGGGCCCTCCGCCGGGGGCGCGGGGCCCGCCGGGGACCGCCCGCGCGGCCGCGCCAACCTCATCACAGTGCCCATACAGGACCAGACCGAATCGCACTCCTACTACAACTACTATCCGGTTAGTAATATCACTTTTCACAATTAACCATTGATTTCTCAAACCAAATTAAAATATACTTATTTGTGTGACTCTTATCCTCGGACGGCTTCGGTGATCTAGCGGTTAAGCACGCTACTTACATTTCGATGATCGCGGGTTCGATTCTCGCACGGTACTATTTATATTCATGATTGTCTGATCTGGGTGTTTTTTATGTATGTTATGTATATACATATTTACAATAAAAAAACCTAAATATTTATGTCAGTTGTCTAGTTAATACCCATAACACAATCTATGCTTAGCTTGGAGCTAGATAACGCTGTGTGCATTATCCAGAAATATTATGTTATATTAATGGTGTGATGCAGGCGTTAGGTGACACTATCGCCGACGATTTGTCCCTGTATGTTATGTTATAATAATGTGGTGTTACTGTCAGCCGCCGCAGCCGGTGCCTCCGCCGGCGGTGTCCGCGGGCGTGGTGTTGCCGCACATGGGCGTGCCGCCGCCGCATTCCTACTACTCAGCGCCGCCCTACTCCGCGCCGCCCGCCGTCTACGTGCCGCCGCCCAGTATGTACACTACACTACAGTATACACTTCATATCTTCATGAATTCACTCATAAGTACATCATAATTTTTAATTTAACATCAATATATAACATTATTTAATTTCCATTTGTGACAGCCGGTGGCTTAGTTTGTTTTGTAAATTGTGTCAACATATGTAGTATAGCTCTGGCTTCCTGTATTAAATGAATTACAATATTAAATGTGTGCTCTGACTGCAGGTAACATGACGACGAACGTGTCAGGCGGCGTGGGCTTGTCGGTACCACTGGGCGAGGGCTCGCGCTGGCCCGAGCCGGCGTACGCTCCGCCTCACGCTGGCCACACTCCTCACACTCCCCACGCGCCGCAGGCCTGGCCGCCGCACACGCAGCACGCCCAACACCAGCAGCATCAGCACCACTACTACAGGTATTTCACTTGTCAAACTTTTATATGTATTAATATAATTAATCCAAATAAACAACGAACTGTGCTCTAAAGAATTGTTTGACTAATTCTCACCACTCGTCATCGACAAAAATTCACTCAGATGCTCACTCGATTAATTCATAGTAAATTTGACACAATAAGCTAAAATTTACGGGACATTCTTAACTTTATTTCGCGACTACTTAACTTTCTTTTAATTTAAGATATCAAAAAAAGGTACAGCAAATAAGTTCTCTATCTAATAAACGTCGATTTCGTCAGGAATTAACCATAACTAGGCTATCCTCCCATGGGATCCTAAAAGGGAAAATGTGGGAGGATAGTCTAATGGACATTTTAGTAGACTTCTGGCACTTGATTACTCTCCATTTACATCACAAAAGTTTAAATATGAAGATAATAACATTATTTTTTCATTCTCCAGGTAGCCCCCGTACCGACGCAGTTACAGTTCTTACAAGTAACTGTGGTTCTATGGATTGTCAAAATTGACTGACTGTACAAGTGTGATTGATATTGGACTCTCAACCTTTGCTACAAAGGTTTAATTCGTGAAGCAAGTTACGTGAGAATATGGACTCTTTACAATCTCGAATGTCTCGTGATAAATGTGGTAGCATAATACGTATATATTATTAAACACTTGAGGTAACTCTTCAGGGGCCATTTATAAATTACGTTTCACGTTAAGGAGAGGAGGAATCAATAATGAATTACATTGTAAGATAACGGGTAGAATGACCCTAAATTCGGTACATACCTAACATGAAATTTGAATTATTGATGAAAACTTAAATAATGTTCTGTATTTAATAATATTGCTAAATTGACATTATCATCATCTGCTTCTTCCTTATCCCATTCATTTGGGGTCGGCGTAAAGTTTCTCTATCATTCATCCGTCATAAATGTCAGTATGGTATCCATCATAATGTTAATGATATTTAGCAATAATTTTTATTTATATTACTAGTGAAGTGAGTCACAGATATCCCCAAGTCTTTCAAGGATGGGGGCAGAGTAATGCATTAAAATGTTTGACGAAATTTATGAATCGCTCCTTATATATTTAGTAATAATATATACCCTATATTACCAATAATATATATATTTTTATAAAACAGTTCGAGATACTATAATAACTATTACAAGTATATTTCGTACCTAAACACATTGTCATAATGGACCTGGGTACATTTGTGTCTATCCGGGATTATATCATATTATGGAGCATATTGAGAGCAAAAAGTATATATTAATAAAATATACATTATGGGCATGAAGACCTCGGGGTTTGTAGGATGTGAGTTAAAGGCTCTCTTATGGAAAACTTTATTTTGTATTTTATAAAATACACAAAACTTTCGGCCTGTTCCTATCTAGCGATTGCCACACCATTTAATTTCGGCTAAGGTATCAAGTAAAGAAACACGACCAAATTAAAAATCTTTTGGCAGTTGCCTTTAAAATCCAACATCATATCAAATAAATAATATTTATAAATTTATTTTAAATGAAAATTTTGTTATAATTTGATACTTTTAAATATATGTTGTCTGATAATTTTACCTTGAATTAAATATAATTCATAGAAGCATATTGGCTCTATAAAAGCTATATAGGTTAGGTGTCTCGATTTTTTATAAAAATATATTACCTTTCATTTCTTTTTCTGAATCCATGTAATGTAATGTGCATCTCAAAGCGACATAATATTTAAATATTAAATAAAATGGAGTAAGGATATCTGTATAGTTCTAATAATCTGACATAGTATTTCTAGTGAAGATATAATTATGTATGTATAAATAAATAAGATTATATACAGATTTCATAGTACTCTGCTGTTATTTTCGCATTTCATTATAATCAACATGAGTGTGTCTCCATTGCATTTCTTCTACATGAATACATTACCTATAATGGAGAAGAAATGTAGTGGTACAGGAGGACAAAATTTATATAAACCCCTTGTGAAGTACAAAGGAAAATTCTACTCTGCAGACAATAATTAAATAAATTACTATCCCAGATGGGGTAATCAGAGGTATTGTCAATTGTGGACGATCCGGTGAACACAACACTTCACAAAAAAAAAGTTTCAATAAGTATAGGTACATGACATGTAGTGGCGCCGTGATTCTTTCTTATCCGTACTTAAGTTGGCGTACATGTATTCGTTAAATATGACCTTCCTTTTAAAATTAATATTGACTAATATTATCACACTGATTATATCAATAATACAGTAATAATGATGATTGTAAATTAAATATAAACAATATAATTGGTTGAATTATTTTATTTAACACTAATCAATATCAATAATATTTACAATATGTCACACCATTCATCACCTCAACTTGGCATCATCAACAAATGCAAATTTGCAAAAAATATTTCTCTCTCTACATCATACGCCCAACTGTAACCGTACTGAAATTATTTGTAAGTCTTAAAAGGAAGAAAACAATAACTGTGTGATCTGTAAAAAGTGTTTGTTCATTTGTTCACAGTGCCACAAAAAAAATTACATATATTTATAAAATTATTTGTTAACACATTATGAGTGGGGCAGGCATTTGTATCCGTTCCGAGGATTGCTAGTTATAAGCGGGGCAGGTACTAGAACTCGTTCTTCTAGTACCTGCGCCGCTCATAATATGTTAATAACAAAGTCCAAGTTAGCAACTATTCTAAGTACCCAAGATACAAAAGTATTAGTTTAAGTAAATAAAATATAAAAATTAGCCCTTAAATAGTTACTGTTACAAATGCAATTAGTTCATAAATTAGACCATATGAATCTAAAAATTATATTCATTTAATGGACAACCCATACATACATCTCAATCAATTGCATTTCACACCGTCACAGCCTTAAGTACATATTCACCAAAAGTATTCACAATGTACGAAGCAGTATAGACTGAGTAGGATAATAATAACCTGTGGAATTCTCACAGCGTCATCTCATTTTAGACTAAGCAGAACTTGTGCTATTGTAACTGAAAAACCTTTTAATTTTGTTTAAATTTAAAAATCTAAACATTTCCTATGTTTCGATTATACATGCAAAGTCTGAATACAAACATAAATACTTATGAATATAAACGTATTTATGATACCCGCAATAATCAGAAGTTAAAACTTACTAGATGATTACATGTAACATTGCTCTGTGTAATAAAACATATTTATATTTACTCAAGGTTTTCATTACATATTGTTTATTAACATGCTCTTATACTAAATATTGTATATAAGCACATGCTTGCAGTTTTTACATCTGTGTAATGTTCTTAACACAGTCACTACATCAGTGCCTAGCTATCATCCACAACTTCTGTCCAAACTTTTTTCGCTCGTTTCAACGTCTTTGTTTTTTTATCAAAAATACAATCATTAAAATCCATTAACCCATTTAGCCGTCGAAGGTAACAAATGGATAGGCAACAGTAAGTATGAACACTTATGAAATGTGGATGAGATAATTTCAGAGCATATATACGTATGAAAGCTGTTGATGAATATGTACCTTCACAAAAATGTCATCTCAATTCATAACCATGTAAATTCGGTTTATCATTCACACCGGCTTTGGACTTTGTCACTAACAGAGGCCTTATTTCTAAGTGGTTCTGTGAACAGCGTTATCAAGTAATATTTGACTTTGAAGATCATGACTGCTTAGTAGTGGGTGGGATTGGTTCTGTGCTGATATCGACGAGGGTAACCTCCGCAGGGGCTGTTGCCTGACTGCTCGACGGAGTCTCCGCGAATTGCGGTATCACATGCGGAGGCTGCATCTTTCTCACAGCGTCCATACTTACTTTGGTTGATAAGTTCTTCTGCCTCGTTTGTTCTGATGTCTTCGATAATCTCTCGCTCAATGCTTTGAGCGCGATTTGTCTAGAGAACAAAAATTTGATATTAGTATTAATTAGGTAACTCTCATGACCCAATTACTAGCCATGTACCATCACTGCTAGTAATGCGGTCATGATTATTAACAATCCCCTTCACCCCAGAAATTCAATTGTCAGATGCAAGTGTATTACTAACCTTCGCCTCTCCATATCCTGTGGTTCCACACCTGGCATGGAAATAGTGACACCCCGTGGGCTAAGTGCAAGGTGCACCCTGCGTGGACTAGGGGAGCATAATCCAATACGCACTAGACAGCGATGCGGGGGACCCAGTATACCTCTCACTACTGGCTGCAGAACAGTAGGAAAGAAACTGGAAACAAAAAAAATAGTTTTCATAATATTTTATAACCAATGCAATATATATTTCTCGAAATATACCTACAGTATGAGAGCAGCTTTAGCACATGATCAAAATACAAGACTGCTAAGTGTCCACCCTAATAAGCTAGCCTAAAGGTTAGTCACAAACAACCCCCCAAAATGTCAGAAAAGGAGTTCTGAAAAAGAGCACTTAACACAAAGCACACTAAGTTCACACAGTTCTTAATTTTTATATATTATAACCAATTTAAATGGAAATTATCATGTATTGAAATAGATCGTCTCCTGCACTGGTTTACAACTAACAATCTTATGTTAAACGCTAAAAAAACAAAATGTGTTAATTTCTCTCTGTCTAAAAGTTTTAATACTAATTGCAATATTAAATTAAATGACGAATCTCTGGAATTTATAGAATCTACTGCCTTTCTAGGAATCACACTAGATAATAAAACACAATGGGGTGCACAAATTCAAAGCCTTGCAGCGAAACTAAGTTCAGCAGCTTTTGTCGTGCGTAAGGTTAGACAGTACACTGATACTGATACTGCTAGATTAGTCTATTTTAGTTATTTTCATAGTTTACTCTCTTATGGAATATTACTATGGGGAAAAGCGGCAGATATTAAAAATATATTCATATTACAAAAACGTGCCGTTCGAGCGATCTACTGTATGAAGAGTCGTGACTCATTAAGAGAGAAATTCAAAGAGGCAAATATTCTCACCGTTGCTTCTCAATTTATATATTCAAATATCCTATATGTTCATAAAAATCTTGACTTATTTCCAAAAAACAGCAATATTCATAATATTAATACAAGATTTAAAGACAAACTTGCTGTCCCCAAGTATCGTTTAGAAAAAGTTAATAGGTCTTTTATGGGAATAGGTATAAAAATTTACAATAAGATACCAAAGGATATGTTGGAATTACCCTTAAATAAATTCAAAACATCTGTTAAATCATATTTACTGAGCAAAGCCTATTACTCACTAAACGATTACTTGAATGACGAGTGTGCATGGCAATAGTTGTTCATGCACTGAATTTTCATTTAATGTTAGACATAGACACCTATATAAATATACATTGTAAATAAACTGGCTTTAAAAAAAAAGTAATTCAATTGAGTTTCTTGCCAGTTCTTCTCAATTGGATCTATATACCGAACTGGACGGTAGGGAAAAAAATAAAATTATAATGTAAAAATTTGACGTTCATAAGCGGCTAAAATGTCCTACATGAATAAATGATTTTTGAATTTGAATTTGAATTTGATTATTTACTTACTAAATTCTATTATGCTTTTGTCTTATTGTAAGTATTCCCAGAATACTATTGTAATGGCATGAACTATCTATTAGATGGCAGCAATGTATAGATAAGGCTAACTACATATTTTGATTATATAAACATTTTATAAAAAAACAAGTTTCAATTTTTTCAGGACAAATCTGCAATTTCATGCTTTAACCCGTAATATATAGTTAACAAATCACTAAGATAAATAACTGTACCTGCGCTAAATTATTATCAAAGATATTATTACAAGTATCTATTTAATTTATAAATGTTAGGTAAAGATAAAAATTATTATCAAGTAAAGTCATAACATACAAACTCATGCTAATAATGAGCAGTTATATTTATTTAAGCACATTTATCTGTTAAGATTAAAAATGTGTAAATTTGTTAGAAATTAATCCTGGATTTATGAGTGGATTTCTTTTGACCTATTTCATGTAAACTAATGCATAGATTATTTAATCATAGACATAATAATAATAATATACCTTTATGACTATTGTCCAAATGGGATGAATACAACACTTAATAAACTAAGCTGTAGTATGGATAGAGCTTTCTGGACCTTTCTTAGTTTAAATATGGTTTTCTAGTTAATCTAAGGTCAGTAATTCAGCAAGACATATTAATATTTCCACAAAGTATTTCTGGTGTCTACCAGATTCAAACTCATGACCTACATATTAATGCAAGTTAGGGTAGGAATGTAGTAGATATTCCATTACTATATAAAGGAATATTGATTTTAAATTATTTTTTTCTTGCTGACATGTCACTTTCATGACTGACTTTGGATTTAGTACAATTATGGGAATATAGTCTTGATCTTAGAATGAGAACTTACTTGTCGAAGCTGAAATTATCAGCCATATCTCCTCTGGTGCCACTGCTGTGCTGTTGCCAGAATCTTAAGTAGATCCATGATAGTATAACTCCACTGCCCCACATACATGGGTAGGTTCCCTCCAGAGCTCCGATGGCCCATAAAATTATTGCAGCTATTAGAATGAGCAGTGGTAGTGAACGATTTGTCAATTTACCTAAAACATAATAATGACAATTATGAATAATGATTGTAGGATTAGCACTTCACATATTTTACTCACTACACACTTTATTTTGTACACTAGGATTTCTTTTTATTAATTAATTGGCAGTTAGTATAACAGATATTTGTGTTGATATACACTTCATCATTATTTTACCTTATGCTATCAGGTATCATCAAATTATATTATTTTTAGATTAGAATAAGATAATAAGATACCCAAATATTTTATTACACACCAGATTAGTGTATGGCAATACAAATTTTAATGGCTTACTATTTAAATATAGAGATTAAGTAGTCTTTAGTAACAAATTAACATTATAAAAACTTTAGATAATTATTTAGTATTTTCTTTCTCTAATTTAATAAATATAATTACAAATCTATAGATCTACTATCTAGTTATAAACTAAACTGTTAGCAGAACTGGTATTAGAATAAAACAAATTATAAAAATATTTTACAAATACTGCCCAAACTACTGGATAGGTAAACAAACAATTGTTTTGTAGATTCAGGATTGAGAAAACATAACAGAGGCATGCATAAATCACACTTTATATTTATTTACAGTTAAACATAAAGAGAAAGCTTATATTGAATGAAACATATACATTACCTAATGGTGTTTTTATAAGTAGATGGTCTGGCATTATCTGCTTGACAGCTACACTTACTGCAGCCAAGTAACCAGCTAACCCGTGGACATGTATATCGAATAGATACGAGGCTTGTCCAGTGCAAGCAAATATCACTAAATAATAGAATGTTGTTAGAAATGCCACTCCGATATTCGTCAAGAAAAAGAACTTCATCATCTCTATCGGACCCCATAGCGGCTCTATCAGCTTCCCACATAACCCTACAGTAATTATATCAATCACAACCTCCCACAAATGTATCTCTAGAAACCAGAACGTGAAAGTAGACCACAATTGAAAAGAAGGTGGCAACAAATAGCCTGGAGTAACACTTAAAACGTCCACGACATCATCGGAGAAAGATAATATATAGCCAATAATAACAACAACACATATAAATTTTACAGAAGGCGAAGTGTTTCCTAATAACGCTGAAAATTGCTGTCGTAAATATGGTAAATTACGACTAAACACTCTTAGTGCAGCCATCTTTGTGACGGATGACTAATTGTCAAAACAAATGTCAAGGCATCATTATGACAGTTGTAATCACAGAATACGACATAAAAGTTCAGTTACAGTTAATTTCCGGTTATAACATAGACGGAGAACTTCTTTCATTCCTTATTACACTTTATCGATCTCCCCATGTAGTTTTTTAGAAAACATGTAACGTAATTTAGGGATGTATCCTAAAATAGATTATTCCAGTAGATACAGTGAAATATGAAATTCGATAATCACTTAGAACCAGTTAGTAGAGAAAGTATGTAATTAGATGACGCACAATTTAAATCAAAAAGTGCGACCTTGAATACATAAGATCACAAATAACATAATATTGCATACTAAGATCAAGACAAAATAAATAGAAATTAAAAACAGAAAATATATATTTATTTCTTTTCAGAACAATAAAATCAATATTTTTTTTAAGAACTAAATATGCCCTTTAATACGTATATTATTTATATATACCTAACTAGTTAACAAGATAATTGCACCACTTGATCTTGAGCAGGATAGTCAGGTAGTGACAAATTGTATTTGGCTATTATATCTTGCGGTAAGAATCTACCACCCAAAAAGTGTTTGATGTCATTTAGTATTTCTGGCCGAGCACAAAGTTTTGGTGCAGATAGTGATATTAGCATAGCTGGCCTCAGGGCATTGCTTGAGATAGGGCCTTTTTCCACATCCCATCCACTTGGAATGTCCACACTGAAAAAATATATACTTCAATATTTAGTTGCAGGCAACTAAGTGAGGAAATTTTGTGAGGAACAATATCAGTTTATTTTTTAATTATAATTAAAAATTTTATAAATATTCAGCAGGCAAATGTAGCATGCTAAATTTGAAATTTACTATAGAAAACAAACATAAAATCAAAATATTTTCTCCCCTAAATTTAACTTTTCATTAACAATATATGTTAACATCATACTACTTTTTTTATATTAGCAATATTATTATTTTAGCATATTTATTTTATTTAATTACTTAATAAATTATTTTATTCAATTTGTAATTTTGTGTAGACAATATTTGTATCCACATTCATATACATATATTATGTATGGTATTGTATTCAGACCAATTATTCTTTATTGATATTACATTGATTTGGTCCAAATAAGGTATATGTATACACACCTGCACACTGGTAATCCACTTTTAATTAAAGCATCTAAAGCTGGTTTCAGCTCATCTCTCACTGGTGGCTTAAAACTGAAGCCAAATAAAGCATCTACCAGTACATTGTAATTGTCGGCCAAATCCTGCAATGGTGGAAGCTTGTCCACAATAGTCACTCCAAATCTTTTGCACTGCTCAAAAAGATTCTCATATAATGGTTTTGGTGTTTTTTTAGGGTAATGAACAGCTACAGTGTACCCAAAGAGTGCCAGATGCCGTGCTGCCACTAATCCATCACCTCCATTATTACCTGGCCCACAGATTATAAGTGCTGATTGATGACTGTAGACAAATATTATTTAGTTAATTAAAATTGTGCATATTTATTTATAGACATTATTTAACCTTATCATAAACAAACAAATATAATAAGTGTTGTTGACATACTGGCCCTATAGTTTTATACTTCATATTTACATTGTGTTTCTATTAAGAATATTATTATATATTTTTGTTTAAAGAATAAAGTCTAATAAAGAAGTTTCACAGACAACAACAGTTAGTTAGTCTGATAATGGAAAGGTGCACATATACTAACAGTAAATGCTGAGTTTCTTCAACTCAGAAGAAATAAAATATTCAAATTGAAGATTAAAACATGTCCGTTAGACCATTGCAACAAATAAAATTTCCAGGGTTAACTGTGTGGATGACCATCTTATGAGACATTACTAGTATTTTTTATGTATTATTATTTAATATAATATAAATGGGAAAAATACAGTCATTATTTAATATTCTATTCTATATAGGGATAGGGTCAAAATGTACTTAAATAAGATTTTATCTAAAATAAGGAAATTGAAATTACATAAAATATACGCGCATGTGCACTCACGTGTTGGATGGATAAGTTCGGGCGACAGCATTTGCCACACTCAATCCAGCCAATTCCATCAGCTGATCGACACTAAACTTATATTCATTAAACAAATCCAGGTCTAAATTCATTGCTTCTGACTGTGTCAGGTATCGAATTCTGTCGGTGCTACAATGTTTCCCGCCGTTTGCCATTATGCCTTCGCCGCAGACGTTCGCCACTCGTAACTTTAACGCAGCACAAATATTATGATCAAAATCCGAAATGAAAGTTTATGTGGATAATAACAAATTCGATGCTTACCAATAAGGCGCTTCCTATAAGCCGAAAGAATAACATTTACAAAGTGGATAGTATTGTTTATTTCGACTGCTAGATTCTTCAGGAAGTTTTGAAATTCAATACAGAATTCCAGTTAAATAGTGAAGTTGATTTTTCATGTTTTGGTTTGAGACTTTGCACAGAACAGAGATCAGATGCGTCACAGCCACAGAGTAATAATATAAACAGTTTAATAGTTTTTCGTTCTTTGATTTTTGTCGAGAAGTTAAAGTTTTATATTATAAAAATATTAATTTATTTTGTTCCAAGTAGTGTTTTATTAATAGTAATTATATTGATATTTATTATTATAAAATGTACATAAATTTACGTTCCCTACTTGTATAACAAAAAAACATAACCAAATTATTCCTTCAATATGTTTGTTCGGTTTATTGCTTAAAAAAGACAAATTGTGCTAACCTTTAACCTTTATTATTTATATTGTGTTAGTCTGCAACAGTATGAAGATATAAGTACGCGACGATATCTATTAGTATTTATATATGTACATTGTGGGAATTAGGCAACTGTGGCATAAAAATATGAAATATTGTTGACGTTGAAGTTGACATAACTTCTGCACGCTTCACTGTCATAAATTTCGCGCCATTTATTATCGGCTACCGCTGATTTCATCCCGCTTTTTATTTGTTACTTTACTTTTGTATGCCTATTTCAAATTGTACGGTCAGTGACACTTGAGCGTCCTTAATTTAGTACAATCATTTTCTTTTAATATAGTTTACTACATATTTTAAAACGTAAGTAAACCATTACCATGAGTGTTTTACAATTGCATGGGTATGAGTTGTTGAAGACAAGAGTCAATGTACATTTAAATCAATGAACTACACGTTCACGCAATTGTCTGCACCTTTAGTTCTTCATGGAAATTGCTTCGCTTGGGTTTATGTACAATATTATTAACCTAGTCGTTTAATTACTTACAGACAATGTTTGAAGCACGCCTTCTCCGAAGCTCCATACTTAAAAAGGTCCTGGAAGCAATCAAGGATCTACTCACACAAGCCACGTTCGACTGTGATGATAATGGTATTCAATTACAGGTGAGAAATTAAGTTGATATTTTAATTCATGTAAAACACATACATGAAGTAGTTATGTAGTGGAGTGGAGTTTATTATAGCCACCCATTATTAACTACTAATCGAGATATGATCAATTTTTGTTGGATTGGCAAACAAGTTACAGCCTACCTGATGGCAAGTAGTAACCATTGTCAATGTACAGGTACAGTAGTAAGGATCACTTTATCATGTGATGCCTACCATTCATGCAGTCTTTCCAGAGAACTAAGACATTATATCTCATTGGTTAATTACACTCAACAACCTAAATACTGGATTATTTGGTTAGTGTCCTATTTGTTATAACAGATAGCACACTTTAACCAATTTACGTAAACTGCTACTATAAAAATAATATATTGATATATTTCTATCAGTTGTTAAGTATACCTAGTATAGTCTTGAAGTGGATTGCCTTGTGTGAATTGTGTTTATTTTAATTAATTAATTATACAATGTTCCATAGGCCATGGATAATTCTCATGTGTCACTCGTCTCCCTTACACTTCGAGCAGACGGTTTCGACAAGTACAGGTGTGACAGAAACATTTCAATGGGCATGAACTTAGGAAGGTAAGAAGCAGAAATAGTCATATAATTTCATATTGTTATTAAACTAATTATCTGGTAGATTAAGAAAAGAAATATGGTTTTAGTTTCCGTGAGAGTCCCTACATAATCTGCACACTAAACGAAATTTCTTTAATTGACAATTATGAATTAATATCATAATTGTCAATTATAGAAATTTTTTATTGAAATTTAAAGAATATTGGTAATGCTGCTGGTGTTGAAATTTCAGTCAATAACTTAATAGTATGAAACCTAAGTTTTGTTATTGTTATTGAGTATTTAAGATATATAATAAGATTTAAAGAGAAAAATTAGCTATATACATATGTACATTAAAAAACTGAATATCTTTTTTTCTAACATGAAAATTTTAACATCTTTTACAGTATGTCAAAAATCCTAAAGTGTGCTGGTGACAAGGACACAGTGACTATGAAGGCACAGGATAATGCTGATACAGTCACATTTGTTTTTGAAAGCCCAAACCAGGAGAAAGTGTCTGACTATGAGATGAAGCTCATGAATTTGGATCTGGAGCATTTAGGTATAATAATAGCAATTCATATCTTATTTGGACTTAAAAGAAATTGGCAAATTAATCAGTGGCTATAGAAATTTAGGCATGCAACTTACATTTTTCTAATGTTAAAAATAATATCAGTTGTTTATCCTGATTAGAGAATCCCAAGAACACTGACTGTCTACTTATCTTTAAGTTTTAGGATATTTGTTGAAATGATTGTTATTTTCTTTGTTGCTTGTGTATTCCAAATTTACCACTTTAGTAAAATAATTAAAAAAATATTATTCAAATGTGCTTAAAATTAATTTAATTTGTATAGAGATTGTTTAATTAATGATTTATACAAACTTGTAGACACTCTAAGGAGAAGTGTAATTAACTTTCCCAATTGACAAAAATTGTGGTTTATTGATTATTTGATTAATTCCATTTATTAAAATATATTTCAATGGAATTAGCTTCAATTATAATAAAAAACAATTTCCAAAAAGGAAGTGATTCCTAATTCATATACTTTAAGTGTGTTAGTTCATAACTTTGCATGGACCTTGTTCAATAATTATTGTTTTTTATGAAAGTTGGTGTTTCTTCATTTGGCCAATAGTAATTTTACAAGATCTGACTTGTTTTTTCATGGCACCGCACACTGAACAATTGCTTACAATTATTAAAATTTGCAGGTATACCTGAGACTGAATACAGCTGCACTATCCGATTGCCAAGTGCGGAGTTCGCTAGAATCTGCCGAGATTTATCGCAATTCGGAGAATCCATGGTTATTTCTTGTACTAAAGAAGGTGAGGGAATTACTTAAATAATCTATATATATAATAATAATAACTGGACAATTCACCGCACCTTCTAGTCCATCTAGCCGAGTAGAACTTGTTATGAGTATTAGAAAACTGATAGAAATACTTATACATATATTTTTTGTAAATACATATTAATATACACAAAACCCATACTAATCTAAACAATCATTCTCATGGATACAAATGTTTGCATCATGCAAGGAATTGAACCCGCGACCATCGAAAGATTCTGCCAAACCGCTAAACAATTTTGGTCATATATGATCTTCCATTAAATTGTTTTGTTTAAAAATATAAATAAAATTTCAATAAATATTCTTTTGTGTTCAGGTGTGAAATTCTCAGCATCTGGTGATATTGGATCTGCAAATGTGAAGCTAGCTCAGACTGCGTCTATTGATAAGGAGGAGGAGGCTGTTGTAATTGAGATGGATGAGCCCGTCACACTTACCTTCGCCTGCCAATACCTCAACTACTTCACAAAAGCCACATCCTTAAGTCAACAGGTAGAACTATGTGAAATTTCAATTATTTTTATACATAAATTAAGCATTGTTATTACAAGTACACAATTGTTTTTTATGGCTTGTATTATTCGACTTTTCAAATAAAATAGAGCTGTTCTATAAGTGCACGATGCAAACTGCTAAAAAATAATTAATAAAAAAATAATTCTGCTTTACAAAATCTACTGACACCCAAAATGTACAAAACATTTTTCTAATTGGAATCCAGAATCACAGTTCCGGATCAATTTGCATCTTTATGTAATGTTGTATTTGTTTATATGAATATTTCTCCAAGGCTTATTTTAGGCCATCCTAATATTATAGTGATTTTTTAATGAATTGATTTTTTTTCTTTAGGTCCAACTGTCTATGTCAGCTGATGTCCCCTTGGTGGTAGAATACCGCATTCCAGATATTGGCCAAATTCGATACTACCTGGCTCCGAAAATTGAAGAGGACGACAGCTAAAGGTTTTCTGTGGCCTAAACAATTACATTTAATAAATTACGCCTTAATATACCTACTGAAACAATTATCCTAAGTTAAATTAAGTATCTGATTGTATATCCAGAAGATGTAGAATCTCCCGGTATCATGTGAAATCTCCAGTTTTGTAATTTTTCTGTACACTGTGTATTGTGATAACAAGAAATAGGGAGCAAGTAAATCTATTTTCAAATTTTGATTGTTTAATTTTCTAGTCTGCTGATTGATAGTTTCCCACATTATATACTATAATGAGTAATTCGAAATATATAAAAAATTCATTCCGTATGTATACAGCCAAAATACTAGACTACTGAAAGAAACATGCCTTTTTTTATTTCTAAATTTAACCACTTTAAGTGCCTTTTAAGTTAATTTTGCTATAGATTCACTAATTCATCATACATTGGAAAATCCATGCCTCATACAAATTCCTAAATATTCAAATGTATTGTAAATCAAAAGTTGTCAAGGTACATAGGTAGACAAAGGTCTACCTATTTCAGCCGAACGGTTGAAGAATGAGATAAAGCAATGAAATTACAATATAAGACGCATGACGTCTTAGTTCTATGGGACGGCAACGCATGAGTGGTGTCATATATTTAGACCTCAGTTACCACTTACTATCAGGTAGACCGTTTCCGTTGAAGTATGTTTAGATTTTCGATTATTTGAATGCCTTATGACAAACATTTGTCAGTGTAATAATTGCATCGTTTATTCAACTGAGTCTCCGCTGTGTTTTATGGACTTCTATTCCAAAGTTCTTACGAGAACTGGAAGCAGAATAATTCATAAGGTTTTCCAATGAGGTACTCAGAAGGAAACAAACAACTATGTGCATTTTTAAGATGTTTATATCCACATATACTATCATATAAAATAGTACAAACAAATTATCCATTGTGTCCATGTTTCACATGAGTATTGAACGAAAAATCACAAATCCAATTAAAATAAAACTAATATGCATTCCATAGGAACTGCATGTTAAATAACTGGCAATGACAGGATGGCATGGCATTGTCACAATAAGTAGGTTATTTTTAATAAATAGACGGGACTATAATACCTGGGATGTGACAAATTTATTGTGACTATGATATTTGAGTAAAACTAAATAGAATTACCTCATACCGCCGTGTCAGTCGCGTTCTAAAATATATTAATATATAAATAAATTATTGGAATGACAAAGTTAAAGCTTCATATGTAACATATGATCACAATTTTAATAGCAAATTTTGGTAATTGTACACAAATAAAAAATCTAAATGTAGGTGTAATATTTAAAATTATCCTATAGACAATATTGTGAAAATCGAAAATTTTGGATAAATGTTAAACTCAACACAAAAATTAAAATTCTTAAGATACATTAAAATGAACTATAGATAGGCATATCCTTTTCTCATATATCCAAAAGTCTGGGTGGCGGTAGCACCCATTTATAAATAGCATAGCATTATAGTATACTTAAACTTACTAATACAAAATAATATTACTAAAATTATGGGATTATACAATATAAAAATAATTCACTCGAATAAAAATTAAATAAAATCCAACTTCCATAACCATAAAATAGAAATACTAAAAGAGGGTGGGCAGGATTAGAAGTGAAACGAACCAGACGTGACATCGTTACATTTTACAATACAATTCAATTGTAAATATAAAAGCCATCTAAAGACATCACAAATCAACTTTAAGTAATTTTTTTGTTTAATTCTTAATAAAAAGTACTTAAAAAGTTAGTCAATAAACCAGTGTTTTATTAATGAGATTCTTATGAGTAAACATCTGAGTGGGACATTTCAAATGTTATATTATACAACTACTAGCATTGAATGAATATAAATACGAAAAACCACTGAACTTGCATAGATTCATTTATGGAGTTATTCATGGACAAATCTGGATCTAAATTAAAAAAAAACATTGACTTGATTCATTGTGACGTCACTAGACAGCGAACTAAACGATACACAAAGTTGTCACGAGTCGACGACAAGTCCTCATTGTTTCCACTTCTTAGCGGAGAAGAGCACAGCGCGCTGTCTGAGGAATAGCGAGTAGCTCTGCTTGCGCGGGATATTGGTCGCAGTCTCCGTTTCTTTATTCTTATCGTTGGCGCGGCTGTTGGCCTTCGCCACTGCGGCTATGTATGGAGTACGACGACCACGCCCTCTTCCTACAACAAAATTTTGTTTATTTATTAAAACTAATACACAAATAAAGATGCCCATTGTGAACTCACCATCTTAAGGCATTTTCTATTTTTGGAACACGTCTTCTATTGGTATTACATTAAAACTAATACAGTATTGTCTATAATAGTGGCGAAAGTAACAGCACTTGCTTTGTACTTGCAAAGTTCTCAAGTAGCCCGGCTGGTGATAATAATAATAGTACACCTGGACAATTCACATAACGCCATATAGTTCCAAGGTAAGCAGAGCTTGTGTTATGGGTACTAAACAACTGATACAAATTCTTAGATATTTTTTTCTTACATAACATAGAAAACACCCAGTCACATAAGATACAAACAACCATACTCATGAATACAAATGTTTGTACCGTGCGAAATATCGAAACCGCAACCAACAGAAGTAAAAAATATTGAAATCACCACTAATATGTTAGAATTAAACATGACAGGTAAAGAGGAAAGCTGTTACTAAGGGTTAGTAATGACCTCCTATATATACACACCCCCACCTATATGCTATCAACGTCAGGTCGTCCTTAACAAGGAAGTTATTGGTGTGCTAAACAGCTAGACCGTATTTTTTTTCTGACTATAATGCTGTTGGCCGCAGCTGGTCTTTACAGCTTTACCGGGCTATAAATTGTAAAGTATTATATACCTGCCCCCCCTCCGCGTCCTCAGGACTCCCTCTTAACCTCGGAGGGCCCCGGCGCGGACGTGGACTCCTCGCTGTCGTCGCCCTCCACCTGCGCCGGGCTGATCAGTTGGTCATGTAATGTGCGCAGGTGCCGAAGCAAGTTCGATTTCACATTGAAACCCTTGTTGCACAGACCGCATATAAACGGTCGTTCTCCTGTAAAACATTTGCCTTTTAGATATCGATAGATATTAGAGCCACATTTTTTTAAACTATACCAATACACAGTAAACCCTGCGAGAGGACTTATTCAACTGCTGAATGTCAACTTCCTTCTGACGGTATACGTCAGTATCCGTCCGTAGCTTAAGTCTGAGGGCACTGCTAAGGGTGTGAACCTCGGCTGAGGCCCTCGCAATTTCGATCCCCGATTGAATGGTACAAGGAATCGGTTTTGCTGTTTTAACATATGTATTGCTGCTTAGATATAAATATAACTTAAACAAAAATATTTATTTGAGAATCTGTTATAATATCATCCATATCCACAATCCTTAATCGACTACTGGCTACAGTAGTACTGTCTCTTTAAAGCAGATTTGGCCTCACACAGCCAGATGTAACGGACTTTTTTTCGTGGTTTCTTTCTCTAGCCCTTAGCACTTCTATATTTGCGTTGTCCTTATTGCCTACATTTATTGAATAAATATCTACCATATTTATTTTTTGTTGGTGGTTTTGCTCCATCACATTTACTAAATCACACAAACTATTGAACGGATTTAACAAACAGATGCACTCTATCCTGAATTTGTCTATTTCTACTGCAAAGGAGCTTGTTTTGTTTCAGTTGTAAGCTATGGCAGCACAATTATAGGCATCATCGTCCTCAAGAATGGCAACAAATGTGTTGTCCATAGCAAAACACATGGTTGATGTTCACTTATATACATGACGCTTGCTACTTTCCATCAGGTGGCCCCGCCAGCCTGTTCGCCATTTCATCTATATAAAAAAACCATCGGACCTACCTGTGTGCGTACGCAAGTGTATGAGCATAGACGCGTGGGACGGGAATGCTTTCTTGCAGTGCGTGCAATTCTTGTTTTGCGCGCCCTCTGTGAAACGATTGTGACGTTTTGGTGGGGCACTGTTGTTTGATATGGCCAATTCTAGACAACCGACATCGAACCACATTTAGAAAAAGGATTTAATCACAACAGCTGTGTGGACAGTCACAATGTTGCAATGCTTCATTTGGTTTAAAAAAAATAAAGCGTTATCGTGCATACATATTATAGATTGAAGCAGGAAACAAACAAAGTATTGCAATATTATTAAAGTTTAAATTTTGAACATAACTGAAGTGATTATCATGAGTGTAGCGAGGTAAGGATGTGTTTTATAAAATAAAAATCAAGTGTGAATACAGCGAGGCGGAAATTATATTCAATTGTACAACAACAGGCAATATTTAGAGCGGCAACGGATGTGACGTGATGTTCGTTTGTCGAGAATTAGCCACATACATAACAATCAAGTTTCAGCTATGTTAGTAAAACATTAGTAATATTATTACAAACATATTACACCGTTACATACATTGGTTAGTAAGTTAACACTAAAAATTCTTAACTATAAGCTATTAGGTAGATTTTGTGAAAAGTCTGCATGAGTATTTCAGTGTCACCCTGTTTTAGCCACCAAGCAGCTTGCTTTGTATGCTTCGGTTGAAGAGTGAGATAAAACAGGTTAATGACAGGATATAGAAGGTTAACATCTAGTGTTCCAGCCACAACACATAGACGACAGTGACCATTTACTATCAGGTGGACTTCAGCTTGTTTGTCATTTCACTTATATTAAAAAACTAAGGAAAATTAATTATCTTTAAATCAATATAGGATTAATTGATGTCATAAGGTCTAAAAATCTTAGTTATAACTCGAATCCTTATAAAAGTCGTAGTATAAAAGTCATAATGCATGGAATTCATACATATACTACAAGTTGTAATAAATTTAAAATAGCCATCAATCCCATGTCATACAATTTTAACTTTTGTACTAACGATATTGTTAATGGACATCCAAAACCTGACTAAAAGTATCAGGTCAGTCATAAGATGCCGTCCAGAAATCAAATCGCAGTATCATGTTTCCTTAATACATGAAGTCCAGGATGAGTTGTTCGTGTATGATGTTTGCAGTTTATTTAATTAATACCCTTTGGCAAATTATGTTGTTCATGTCTGTCGACGTTATTACTGTTATTTAAAGTTATGTCTTCTTATCACTCATGATCATCATATGTCACTGTATAGTCCTAAAGCTAAGTTTTAAAAATAAAGTATTATTGTCAACATGTACAATGGCATTTGAGGAGAGAGGAGAGAATGGTAAAAGAGTGCTGCCAGAGTTTATTATCATTCTTCATTTTCGAACTACTTTTAGAACTGACAAAAGATTTGACTTAACGTAAGTAATAGTAATAATAATAACCCTGGACAAATTAAGATATAAAGTTTGTTTTGTAGGTACTAGATAACTGATATAAATACTTAGACATATTTTTGAAATATATACATAATACACATAGAGAACATCCAGAGCGATACAAACAATCATGCTCATGATTACAAATGTTAGCACCGCGGAAGGAATCGCACCTGCGACTATCGGACGTAAATCAGTGTGCGAAATTACCGAGGCTGTTAATTGTAAGTCTGTTAGACTGAGTAAATATATTTTGACGTGAAATAATAATAACCTCAGGACAATTTACACAGCGCCATCTAGTCCCAAGTTAAGCTACCTAAAGCTTGTTGTTATGGGTACTAGATAACTGATAAATACATAGAATGATATAATAGATAATGAAATGTTATTTAACACTGTGTGCGCGTGTAATGCTACTAACCTGTTTCTGTGTGCGTGCTCTGAATATGTCGCACCCACTCGGCCGGGTTGGGGAAGTGTTTCTGACATAAATCGCAGCGTAGTAAAGCCATTGTTTCTTCTGTATCGTCACTCTGTGGGATACCAAATATTCGTAAAGTCACAACAAAGCCAATAACATAATGTAATCTTAAATTGAGGGAAATTTTGTACAAAGTCGTATGCGAGCAGGGACGAACTAGGGTCTAGGCTACCAACCTAGGTAGATTCTAAGACCCGAAAATGAGGTTTTACATTTTTCTTTTTATAATTAATGTTTGACGTGACTTCTATATAGACAAGTATGTAATAGAATTTTAAGGTTTCGAATAGAGTTACCGTCGCGTGGAATGGATAGACGATATGTAGCGTTGTGAGAAAAAGAGAAAGGTTTGTGACGGTGCGCGTAGAGCGGGCAGTCATATACATCTCTAAAAAGTTATATTCAAAAATGACTTTGTCTATTCTAACAAAATAGTGCTTTATTACTATGGTCTTAGGGGCCCCATTATCCTAATGAGCTCAGGGCATCCAATAGGTGAAAGACGTCCCTGTATATGTCTGTCATGTGGGTCGTTGTGCGTGTAAGTGATACGTGAGGTAGATACAGGTGCGGATCTACCTACGGGCTTTTTGGGCTGTAGCCCAGGGCCCCGTGGATACAAAGAGCCCCCAGCCTCTACTGAAAACAATAGGATTCTCCGATATGTAGGTTATAAAAAGATCTAGAATATAAAAAAATCCTATCATAAGGTTAACAACCATGAGATCAATTAACCCATGAATGTGCGTCTATCGAACGGAACGGGGAATTCTCCGTCGCTTGTTTTCGGTGTATTTTTTTTTGTTGAGTAATATAATTAAGTAGGTCTCTAGCTCCCGCAACCCGTAGATTCGTTTTAGGCCAGGGTTCACAAATTCCCGATCCGCCCCTGGGTAGTCAGCGTGGCGGTACTGTACTGACCGCGGAGCGGTGTTTCCGTTTGCGCGCTGGCGGCTGGTCCTGGTGCGCGTGTCCCTGCACGTGCCGCACCCACGCGGCCGGCACCGTGAACACCTCCGCGCACAGCTCGCACGCCAGCGGACTGTACATCTGCACACAATAAACACTTCATCTTATATATAAAATTCTCGTGTGACAGGTTCGTGTTTATTCTGTTTTTACTCCTCCGAAACGGCTTGACTGATTTTGATGACATTTTATACCCCTATGTGTTAAGGGTGCCTCACCCCAAAAAATATTTTAAATTTTTTCAACAATTTATTTATTTTTATATTTTTATAAAATAACACACTAAATTTTTACTCTTCTATCACAGACCCCTATTTTTTATAGCGTTCTTAATTTATATGGCAAAACAACATTTGCCGGGTCAGCTAGTATACTTATATAGCGGATTATACAACTGCACACGTCAAGTACCAACCAATAAATATGTATTGGTCACATTCATGAGTACAAATGTTTGTATCGTGCGAGGAATCGAACCTGCGAACATCGCCGTCACTAGACCATTGTTATCATCCAATTTGGACCAGTTGCGTGGCGTAATTGAAAATGTACACAAACCAAACATATTTTTTAGGATAAGAAGCATGACATCTTACTCCTCTGGAGTGACATGAGTTTTATTGCTAGTGTCACATGATAACTTGATTTTCGTACTAATGTCCATGTATATATACATCAGGCCACAGTTGCCACTTACCATCAGGTGGGCCATTTTCTTGTTTGCCATTCTAATCACTTTAAAAATAATACATACAACTATATACTTAAACATACCAAACTTTCTTCCTCAATCTCCATATCATCAATAGGCTCTGATTTAACACTCATTTCTGCTTGAAACATCTCCGCAATAGATCTTTCCTCCTCTTCGATACTGCTAGCATCCCATTCTGGTTCATCCTTGACGTGCACTTCTGTTGATTCCAAATTACTCTGAGTAGATTTTTCTGAGAAATAAAAAAAAACATCATACATAAGTTGAGCGAAAAATACATGTTTTATTTGAAAATATAAGGAAGGTAATCATTATTTGTTCTGAAATAAATATATTATTATAAGTTAATAAATTTTATTTTAAAATACCCCATATAACACTGTTACTGTAACTCCAGTAACAGTGTTATATCAACAAGTAAAAATATTGATGGAAAATGGCAACAGCTCCACTGAAAAGAACGCGGCTCTCAAATTATGAATCTATGAACACTGTCACACTCACACTGCCAACTTTATTCTTTTGTAAAATAATAATAAAAAATAGAAGAAAAAACAATGATTGTAATCTCACGTTTATATATTTATATAAAACTATAATTTTAAATAACCACACTAAAAACGAACAAATTATAGATAAAAATCCTCTCGATCACGTCACTATTAAAACAAATATCTATATAACTACACTTTTTGTGCGATTTAATAATAATAATAATTATTATCTCAGGACAATTCACACAGCGCCATCTAGAACCAAGTTAAGCTAGGTAAAGCTTGTGTTATGGGTACTAGATAACTGATACATATACATAGTAATTTTTTTTTAAATACATACACATTATACATAGAAAACACCAGACCGACATAAACAATCATACTCATGAATACAAATGTTTGTGCCGTGCGAGGAATCGAACCCGCGACCATCGGTCGTAAAGCGGTGTGCTAGACCGCAAGACCACCGAGGTCGTCAAATATATTTGTAACAAATATGTAAATATTTTATCTATCTATATACTTACTTGATGTAACAGAGACATTATCTTGATTATCATCATCTTTCGCCTCTTCCGTTTCAGTACTGGCTTCTACCCTTTGTTTCTTTCCATACTTTCTTTCAGCAGCGTGCCGTCTCAATATTCTAGGTGGAGGCGCTTCATCTGGTGAGTCATCAGCTATTGTCGCAACCGCAACACTCTGTACAGGGGCTGGTGCAGCTACAGTAGTGGCTATTGCTGTGGAATCCGCTGTTTGTGCTGGCGCTACCAGTATCGTTTGACCCTTTGGAGCACCAGGTCTGAGGGCGGCTTGAGTTCCACCTTCGGTAGTTTTGATAAATACTAATTTCGGTGGTCCAATGAACATAGGTCTGTTAGACAAATACACAAGAATCGTCATTGTTATATACTTTCATAACTAATAATAAATTAGTAAAGTTTTAACATCAAACAATGAATCATAATATTGTATAGGTACCTAAAGTTAATAAAAATGTGTACAATATTGTAAATAAATAATAATACCTAATTAAACTTTAATATTAACAGACTAAATTTTAATTTTAAATAATATTTTACACTATATACCAAATTACATAATATGTAGTCATTGCTATATTTAATGGGTTAATTATGCTATATTTTTAAGCTTATCCATCACACACAAAGATTTCTAATATTTCCTCTTTATATAGTATAGTATTTTCTTTGAAGACAATTTTGAAGACATAGGCACTGTCTAGTCCCAAATTAAGTTGAACTTGTACTATAGGTACTGAACTAAGAAATATTCAAATACATTTTTTGTTTATCTTAATAAAAAAAATATTAAATATATATGTCCAAGTGTGTGTTCCAGGGTAGTCAGAGGAGTGGTCAACTGATATAAAATCAGTTAGTTTAAGTATATATTTTAATTTTGTGTATATACAGTAGGTCTGAGAATAAGTAGGCTATATGCTATATACTATGCATATGTTATTTTTATACCCCTAGACCATAAGTGTGGACCTAGCTGAAAATGATTTATATGTGACAACATTGTTTGCCAAGTCAGCCAGAACTCAATAAATTTTATAACAGATAATGCATGTACCTTGTGACACCCTGCGGTTGAACCTGTCCAAATGTCTTCAGCAGCTTATCATCCTTCTTCACTGTGATCTTTGGTTGCATATCTTCAGGTTTCTTGGCTACTATTTGTTTGTTTACACTTGCTGTGGCCATGGGTGCTGTGGTCTTCTCTGCAGGAGTGGAGTCCCCACCAGCCTCGTCTGTTTGCCTCCATAACCCTCTAATTTTAAGTACTTCACCAGCTTTCAATACAGTATCTAATACTTCATTTGAAACTGTCGTTTCACCTGAAAAATAACAATCAATGAAAAATAAAATCAAAAACTTTTAATTGAATAGTAATGTTAGTTTCATAAATTTAATTAATAAATTAAAATAAAAAAGGAAAAATATCCTAATCTAATAGCAATATTTTTAAAATATTCTGATAGGATGAAATAAATGAAGTAATTTTATATGATATTTTACATAGTTGACTATTTAAAAACTTCATGGATACTGAAAAAATCATTATTAACCAATTTATTCTGTGTCGCATATTTAGAAAGAAATCGCTAGTAATAAATACATATTAAAATAATTATTACAAGAAAAACAAAAATAGCCTAAATACATTATTAAAATTAAGAAATTAATAAACACATAAATTCCTACTGACCTTTATACATATATTCCACTAGAATCTTCAACGCCTTCGTAGATATCTCCGAAGGTAGCACCACATACAACATCCCACCCATGCGAGTCACAGACCGCTGCCCCTCGAACAGATTGCTCAAGTACACGCTGCACGAGCTCAAGATGAACTTGTGCGCTGGTATCTGTGACCCATCCATCGTGCACAGCACCACATCGGTAAACCGCTCCGATCGCAGCAAGGCCGCAACGGAACCATTCAAATGCGAGCTGTGCGAGTGCCATTTTAACTGGTACGTGTCCGTCGAGGTCATTGTAATTGTATCATCTCTCTCGTTAACGTCGTCTATGTAACAAATCAATAAAATATTATTTCACAAATAACTAACCTAAAAGTTCAATGTTTACATTTGAAAATAAAAATTTGAAATTAATGAATGGCGCCACTTCGATAGTGCCCCTACTATAGGTTCCGAAGCAAATCGACCTATTCTCACTCTTTATTTTTGTCTTGATAGAAAACTAACCATACATTAAACATGTATATATATAAATTACAATCTTTTATAATAAATAAGCATCCTATATCTCTGGAGTAATAATTTATTTTTTAACGTGATATAATAAACAAAAACAAAACAAAATTAAAGTGATAACCAAGTGAGTTCTGTGAGTGACAGTACCGTGGTAACAACCAATCAGGAACAAAACAAACGCGAACGATCACCGGAGCCAAAAGAAAAAAAAAACCCGAATCGAAAAGTCGAGATCACATTATCGCACGCTTACCAACCGAAAGACATAATTGCTGATGCAAACCCGATGCAAAACTACAAATTATTGTTATCGATGTTTACAATAACCATTTTTTTTAATTGACCAATTATAAAAATGGCTACCGGTTATACCTAAGTTTTCTTTCAAATTCGATTTTTACACCTTTTGAAATCGTAAACAGTAGAAGACATAATTATTCAAATTAATTAAGTAGTTTTAGTTTTTTAAAGTACTATTGTTATATCTAGTTAGTTAATTACCACGGAAAGTGTGATTAATAATAAAATAAAAATTTACCTTCAATACTCGATCAATAGTGTAATCGATACAAAATATTTATAAAGTATACATAATTTACTAAAAAAGTCACTTTATTTCACAATATTGAAATGAACGTACAATTGAACTATATTGAAATAATGCGCGCAACCACCGCGTGCGACCCTCGAGTTTGGTGTGCGGCGGCTGCGGCTGCAAAAATCGATAGAATTCGTATTGATTTAACTCGAAAAGCGGGGTTGCGCGTTTATCTCATCGATCCATGCTGGAAAGCGTCGGTGTACGGAGTACGGAGCGCGCCTGCGTCGTGTTGCGAGGGGCGCCGGTCGCCGCGCCGGGCCTATGTACAGCCGCCAGCGACGCCCGCCCTGCCGCAGCGCCACCCTGTTCCCGCGCAATACATCTAACCCTCGCGTCATGCTTTCCAGCACACCTACGTACTTGCTTATGGAAGCTATTGATTAATAGTCTGTTATACGTATACGTTTTGGTGCATTGTATTATTCGTACCTATATTTATACATATTACTTACTTTTATGTTTGAACTAGTTGACCCCGCAAATGTTGTTTTGCAAATTGCAAATTAAAAAATATGGATTTGATTGGTGAATATTTAGGGTTGTTATACATTTTTAATGCCAAATCATAAAAAAAAATTGGTCAAAAAGAATTATAAATATATTTCACTCTTATCAATGAGGGATACGAAAAATAGGCGTTGGCCGATTCTTAGACTTATCCGATATGCACACAAAATTCATAAAAATCTGTACTGTCGTTTCGGAGGAGTTTAGTAACAAACACATAAGAATTTTATGTTAGAAGTTAATTAGGTACTAGGTGCCTAATTTAATTACCTACTATTAATTTATTCTTAAAGTATATTTAATATCAATAATTATGTATTAATTTAACATTTATAAGTTACATCAATTTCCGATAGACAAAACGAAGCAATTCAATTTTACTAATATTATAACTGCGAAAGTAACTCTGTCTGTCTGTCGCGCTTTCACGCCAAAACCACTGAACCGATTTTAATGAAATTTGATACACAGATAGCTATACCCTGAGAAAGAACATGGCTACTTTTTAATGCGAAGTAAGGAATGAATGTAAGCGGTTGAAAGGGAAGATCGACGAAGTGGCATAGCTAGTACGTATATGTATGTATAAAAGTATATACCTACAATAAAATATATTTCGCAACTAATAATCATATCATAGTCATAGTACATTCTATATTAATAGATTAGGAAAAGAAAGAACGGATTTTTATGGGGAAAGTAAACTCTGAAACCACTACTTATTTGAGTAACTCTATGGATATTTGAAACATAGGTGAGCTATATTAATATATAGTCTGGAATATCTTACTTTTTACTCTTACCAATATTATAAACGTGAAAGTTTGTGAGTATGGATGGATAGATTTCACGCAAACACTACTTTACGGATTTTGATGAAACTTTACAGTGATATAGCTTATAGGTCAGAATAACAAAGGCTACAAATTGCATGCGAGTGAAACCGCGGGCACAGCTAGTGTTCATATAAAGAGTATTCACAAGATTATGAGCGCTCGGGCAAAGCCGGGGCGGATCTACTATATAAGTGTTTACTTTTTTAATTATACATATAAGTAACCAATTTTGGTCAGAGGTTCTCTTTTTTTTATGGTAGAGCATTTTTCAAATTTTTAGCTGTCAGTGGACACAGTGGACCCCTATTGTGATATTTCTATATGCTCTTAATACTGGTAAAATATGTAAAATAAGAACTATTTAATTTTGCAAATTTGCGGTTAATTTCCAACCATAATTTCGGGGCGGTAAAAAGGAAAAAGCAAAATAATACAATTTCTATTTATTAAAAAATTGTAGTGATATTGCATATAAATAAAAATAAAAACATAAATATACTTAAATAATATACGCTACACTATAAATATAAATATTTATTTTTTATTCTATTACTTCAACAAATTAAAAAAATAGTCCTAATTTTGAGGGAAGTTAAAGCAACGTAAATGATATTTTTGTAAATATCATAGGTACTTGTCTTTAGTTTTGTCATTATTACATAGTAAAAAACAAAGTCGCTGCCGCTGTCTGTCCCTATGTATGCTTAAAACTACGCAACGAATTTTGAAACGGTTTTTTTAATAGATAGAGTTTTCAAGAGGAAGGTTTATATGTATATATAAAATAATACACGGGTGTACCGTGCGAAGTCGGGGCGAGCCGCTAGTAAGGAATAAAAGCAAAACTCGCCGTTTTCTGATCGTATCTCCCGTGACTACAGGGGGTCCCCCGTCTACTTGCTAATCACTAGTTTAGGTAAACAAATTGTATACATGACAAATATACTACTGATTTATCTCTTATAATTACGATATTGCTATATTTACGTTGATTACAAAAACTTTAGTAAAAATTTATTTATTTATTTTAGGAAATTAACGATGTAATTTTACAAGTTTTACAAGTAACACTTGTCATATTAAATTATTCTATGCCAATTAATAATCTTCGCCAACATTACACACCTATAAAATAAAATAAAATATTGAGTAGTGTCCGCGCTTTTTCCGCGTGGAATTGACCAAATAAAGAAAAAATAATTAATAATCTAACCCACAAAAGCCAAAGAAAAGTTTCATCCAAGCTTCAATAATGACGAATATCCATACAAACTTTCATCGCCTATTTTTTTTCACCCCCTTAAAGGTAAACTTTTTACAAACATGTCATATTTATTTCTATTCATCAACGGCCTAAAAAATAAGTTTCAAGCTTATATCTTTAAAATTGACGATACCATACAACCGTCCCATTTCAACCCTTTACAACCCACTAGCATTAAAAATAAACTATGTGCTTTCAAAGGCTAGACTGTCTGTGTATCAAATTTCATTGATAACGGTTCAGTAGTTTTGGCGTGAAAGCGTGACAGACAGAGTCACTTTGGCATTTATATATATATTTATATACTTCACTATTCAAATTATCAATATAATAAAGATATATATATCATGGAATTGCAATAATAAGTAACAAGTTAACTCAATTCATAGTTTAGAACTAGTACGTACGGGCACGCCTGAGTAGTGTATTGGTTTTATAACGACTATCTACGTAGAGGTACACAATGTAACAGACTCGGTGGTCTAGCGGTTTAGCACACCGCCTTCCAGCCGATGGTCGAGGGTTCGATTCCTCGCACGGTGCAACAAAAAGGTGTATTCATGAATATGATTGTTTGTTTGACCTAAGCGTTTTTCAGTACAAAGAAAGTATTGCTACCAATTATCGAGTACCCATAACAAAAGTTTAGCTTGGGACTAGATGGCACTGTGTGGATTGTCCATGATTATTGTTATATTATATGTCGTAACATTTACGGCTCTATTATGCAGTTCAAACCGGATTTAACCATACTCAAAGGGTCAGCGACACTGTCGTACTAACCGGACGACACAAATAACGATCGGTTAATTTATGCTTGCCTTTTAATAAGCATACGTATAGTATCAAAATAATTTATGGTAATTGCGTAAGATTTTACAACAAACTACCAGAGTCTGTTCTAAATATGTCTGAAAAAAGATTCAAGTGTTGTATAAAACATTTCCTTTGTAAAAAAGCATATTATAAAATTGAAATGTTCGTTAACGACAATAATGTTTTTGTACAAAAACTTAAAATTCATAACGCTGACGTATTGTCTGATTGCACAAAGAATAAGTGCGTAGCGGTTTCTATAACGCATAAGTTTCTTGCTCATTCTTCTCGTGATGAATCTGCGTTAAGTTTATTTGAATAAAGATTATTTCTACTTCTAATATGCGCACAGAGTAAGCTATATTAATTCACTTAGGTACATCAATATGTTGAACTGCCAAAACTCACCAGAAATCATGCGTCTGTCTGAGCAACCACTGACAATGTTGTGTCTAACTTTAAAACGATTTATCCAACTCATTGAACAACTAAAGTCAGGAATATTCAGCTCTTGAGCAAAGTAATTAGCTTTTTCTTGAAGCGTAGGGCCACTAACGTGAATTCCCTGGTTACGCTGGAGGTTTACCCACTGTAATAATGCCTGATCTATCTGTTTTTGGGTCGATCCTCTGATACGTTTACATTTCAAAACATTGGCGTTAAACAGAGGTTCTATCTTATCTTTATTTTTCTTTATAGAGGATATTGTAGAATGAGCCACGCCTAATTCTTTAGCGATGGTTATATTTGATTCTCCGGCTTCTAAACGGTGTAATATAGCAGTTT